TTCTTATTAAACGCTTCTTGCTACGAGGCAATCGGGGCATTAAATCCTCCTGGGTTGTGCCAGCTGTTTGTCATTAGGTTTTGAAAGCATCTTTATAACCGATGCACGTAGGCCGTAAATGCTGAAATGCACTCTGACCCAAATCACGATTCTCACGTAGATTCTGGATCATGCATCCGAAGCATCGTGTTACTTTTATGAACATGCTACGCGACTCAGTGAATATTTAAAATTATTTTGATATACTCCGATTATCATTTTCTCGCGTTTTTTTTTTTTCGATTAATTCGAAATTTGTAAAATGCAGTAGAGATTAAAATAAATATAGTACGATTAATTATCTATTATTTTTTGTGCACATCTCTTCTTATATATCATATATAATATATTCTTATAGAGTTTTATATACTCATCAGATAATAAATATATACAGAATTAAGTGTGTATATATAAATATTTCATAATAATCTTGCATTTGCAGATATCTTGGCAGAAATTAAAGAGTATTTAAGAGCTTCTGATAAATACATGAGCAGGGGTCATTAGATCTCGCAATCAATGCACGTATTCTGTAAATGTTTGAATGCACTTCGATTTAATTGACAAAGTTTGTGCAGAATCTTATTCAGAGCTGAGAGCTATTCAGTTTCCGCAATCAATACTATCGGCTCTGGTAGATGAGTTAAGCTCCGTCATTGTTAGTCAAGAACGCGAAGTCAGTTCGGTTACGAAGTTACGACACATACAAAAATAATCTGTAAAACAACTAGATGCATTATAAATAAAATCTTCAGTGCGGTATACCTGCTCCAGAAAAAAAATCTTCAAAAAAGCTCTCTCGAGTTGCAATATATTTTATCAAGCAATATTAAGGGAAGCGGTTTTTATATTTTTCTTTTATGAAAAAGAAAAATAAAACGCGCAACAAAAGAAATCGTAAAAATTCTGTATCTTCTGGGATTTCGAATTCTGTCCCAGAGTAAAAATTTACAACCGCGATAAACATACTTTGATATTAATATTGCGTTAATATCGCGCCGCACACACGACGGTTTTTGGTCTTACCATCAAAATAATTTTTTTAGAGCATAGAATGGTAAAAAATATAAAAGAGTAAAGGGCGGCCTCAGGCGAAACATAACGATATTTACGGCGTTAACCATCCTATAGCCGAGTAGCTCATATTTGCGGTATTTGACGAGTATGGGGAATAACTCCGTTTAACGGCGGGTCGCTATGGTTCTATTTGAGAGGAAACATCATCACGGTCTTTCCAGAATTGGCGCAAAACCGGAGCAAATATCGGCCTGTGGTTAATTAACCGCGGAAGTTTAATCAGCGGAAGTGAGCCCCCAATGCCACACATTCAGGATACGAAATAAAAGATGATATACACGATCGATAGCTTCAAATAAATCTATTCGTAAGCTAGACGTAGACGTAGGAGAGAAAAATTTTCTTAGCTCAAACGCTTCATCTTTTTGAGTGTATTTTACCTCACTTTTCTTCGAACACTGTATATTTGTATAGCTCAAGATTTCAGTTTCAAATCAAAATAATAATTTATGTAAATTTATAACATATAACAATTATTTTAAGTGTTCTCATAAAAAGAAATCATAAATTTTTATGAGTTGTAGCTCCACTTTTCTTAACACTTATGTCTTTGTTATCGATAATCGTGACATATAAACGCGAATATTTCTACATATAACGACAAAATGGAATATATTTTCGGACACAAATGCACAGATCGAGCATCTTTTGTAAACCGGCAAATAGGTGAAAGCGTATCATTTACAATGGACGCCTTTATTTCGCGTGAAAGGAGAAATCGTGATGATCTTTCAGGCCAGAGGCGCGAGCCGATGCAAATGTCGGCTGTTAATTAGCCGCAAACGACTGCTCGCGTTATAACGGGCACGCAAATCGCGTAATGGGGTAACGCGTGCACGTATCTCGTACCTCGGATCGATGACACAAAGAAAAGAAAAGAAGGCTGGCTCGAAAAAAGTTCGTATATGTTAGATGAATAGAAGAATATTGTATCCAAAAATATGTCACAAAAAATATAACATTTATATTAATAATTGTCAGTGACGTGTAAATTGATGTGTAAAACGAATATAGGTACTACAAGAATTATAGAATTTTCACTCTTATATAATTCTCAAGTAATATAATACGGTTCTTCTACAGAAACCGTATACGGTATAATACGGTGCACCAGAATCCCGTCCTTAATGATCAATTCTCTGCGTAATTTGAAGCTGATTTTTCTTTAGAGAACATTTTTAAGAAAAACTCATTAATCGTGACTTTTGAATATATGACATTAGATTAAAACATATTTTCCCGATTTAACCATTTGGCTTAAAGTAAAATTTTGAAACGAACTAGTAAAAAACTTGGATGTGTATCAACAGAAGTTTTATTCGGTAACACACTTTGTAAATTGACCACAATTCGTGTATGTTTTATATATTCTACTTCAATATTCTGATAGCCTTGCTGATAATATATAATTTATCTTATTGATCACGATTTAATGATGTATTTATTATGGAATATATTGTGTTTGTTCTCCATAATATGCGAAGAGTATATGACTATTATCGTTATATTATTATTAAATAATAAATGTTACGGTAAAATTTGGCAGAAAATCTATACTATAATATATATAATATATATAACATCGTAGTAATCGATTCCACTATTCTCGTATATATTTTTCAATTATAATTTTGTACATATATATACTATAATATCAAGCCGCATGCAAATAATAGCTTTTATTACTAAAGTAAATGTTTCTCTGTCAAGATTTACGAGGGATATTAAATCGCTTTGCCTTCGATCATTGCCTAGTTCTTATTTCGTATCATTTATTTTCGTTCGACGATTTATTAAGAATTCTCACAAATACCGTTTGACATACATATGTTGACATGTTGAATTATATTATTTCTTTGATTATGGAAAGACATAGTTTTACCGTCAAAAATATATAATTAAATAAGAGACGATATAATTGAATAAAAATGCACTGAAAAAAGCTTTCAAATAAATGTGTATTTCAGTAGTACCATTAACATCATTTGTTTAAAAATAAGGATTTCTTATATTTGTGTTTTTAGCGTTTAAATTATGCATCTTTCAATAATCAAATAAAAAAATCGATGTCAACATATGTGTATATTAAAGAATATTTACGAGAATGCTTAATACATGTGTATATACAGTGTTCTATTCAAAGCTCTCTAAATTAAGAAATTATTTTCAACTAAATCAAGAAATAAAAAAACTTTAAAAGCTTCTATAAAAAAGAAATTACCAAAATTTGCACACAATGATGTTTCTCTCACAATATATTATTATATCGTCACTTCGAAGTGTATAATTGGTACTCACCTAAATAATTTGTTACAAATTGCATACAAATTGCATACAAATTGCATAAGGGCAAAAGTAGAAAATATTAATTAACATTTCCTTCTCATTAATAATGATGCACGTGTCGATTATACGTCTTTAATCCATAACAACATATTAATATTGTCAAGTTACGCTAAATTGTGTGTGTATATATATTATATATATATATATATATATATATATATATACTATATATATAATGCAATTTATTATATATATATATTGTATACATATATATCTATTATCAACATTAATTATTCCGCGGAGTAGCTACGACGCACAGTGTGAGTAACTACGACAGTAATTAGCTCAGTAATCCACAGCACATTCTATGCAGTTTCACCGAACACAACGCCGGCACGATGCGTCAGAGAGCTGGAAGTAATTTTGTATGCAACGCGCCGGGCGAGTCCGTGGGAGTCCACAATTTCAATTGGAAATTATAATGGAAATCTACGCCCGGAATTTATTTCGGATCTTCCACGGTCGCTAATCCGAGCGAAAGGAATTCGCGTTACAACGTCGGTCTTTAACACAAACAGTGTTACGTTACACCGAAAAAAAGGAAGGATTTTATCGGGTAAAAACCGCAACCGTCGTTACTCGACACCGCTTAAATCGGGGCTTGAATGCAAAACGAGCGCTATAAAAAATGTAATCCCGCACCTTTACCCAGAGAAAGGTGCTGCATTTTATTTTTATAATCAAAAAAAATTGCACCCTTGTGCGCATCATCGTTTGACATTTTTCGAATATATTCGTTCATTCACAACAGTCGATCGCAATGAAGATACATATATATATATATATATACATTGCGAAAAATTAAAAAATAATAAATACGTATCTATATATATATATATTTTACAAAAAATGAATCGAAATTCGCGCATTCGATATACATTGTTATTGTGTTCAAAGCTTTGATTCGATTGTCTTCGAACAATACACATCGCGCGCGCGGTGAACCAAAATTACACTGGTCCGTCTGATCTTGACTTTTGCACGTCTAACATACACACGGCGTGGTACGTTCAATATGAATAATGGATTCGAATCAAACCGACCGTTTAACGTGAAGCGTGTGCCACGTGGATTCGCGTCTATTTACGTATGCGGATTTAATCTGCTGTAATCTGTGTAAGTCACCTTCCGATCGCGCGTTCTCTCTCTCTCTCTCTCTCTTTCTCCCTCGTCACGGAAGATGTAATTATTGAATAACAGATGAAATAGCGAGCATACCTATATCCCGGGGTGCTTGTATTCTCTCGGCTTTAACTTAAACTTCACGAGCGACGAGAGGAGAACGAACACACGCCGCATGGCGGAAATAACTTACGCTCGAGTTAACTTACAAGAGACACGCCAGCACGTTTTCATACAACGGGGACGTCCCGTCGTCGCGACCCCTTGTGTCGATATATATATATATATATATATGTATGTATGTATGTATGTATGTGTACTCGATTACTTCGATAACGGGGCCACGAATGAAAACGGCCAATCGATTGCAGCCATGATTCACTAACGGACCCACCTGTCTTCTCTTGCCGTTTCAGGTGACAAGATGGCAGCGATACAGCGTCGCAAGACGTCGGCAGCGAAGAGGAATCGTGCGGAGGTGCTGTTGCTGGCGTTACTCATCGTAGCGGGCGTCGTTTTAGCGCGATAAGCGTTTCACTTCGAGAAATGTCCATAACTATTACACCATTACTTCCGTTTGTGATAGATAGGATATTACTCCCGGGGACTTTACAGTCCACCCTCTTCCTTTTTCATCCCCCTGGTTTTCCCAACTCTTCGCCCCATCTCTCTCTCTCTCTCTCTCTCCTTTACTTTCCCCTAGTTCCCGCGTCTTCCATTTTCCCACATCTTCCTCTCTGCTCCTCTCCCGTCTTTCTTAACTCGTCCTCCTTCGTCCTTATTTACTTTAGTCGAGGTTGCCGCCGGCTGGACTACTTAGATATGCGAGATTTTCGTGAAAGATTGCGCGATTGCCTGCTCCAAGTCATTACGCGCGACGCGCATGCGACTCGAATTATGTAAATACTCGCCAGGTCGAATACGCCACGACGACGCGGATTACGTTAGGCCAGGCCTGTCCAACTTCCGGGTATGTGCTGCCGATCGTTCGCCAGATTCAGATCGGTCGGATGGAAAATTCGTTAGGTCAGTGCAAACAGTACGGATCGATCGCGTTTGACAAGGTGAGATCCATATAATTCTCGAAAATTCAGATCATTTTTTGAGATACGCAGAAACGGAAATACATGCGTGCACGTGTGGGAAAATGCAAGTGTAAATATCGTCTCGTTTAAAAATAACATCCCTACTTCAAACGATTATTATTAGCGTTGTACAATTATTTATGTCTTGAAATTGCATTATTTCTAGAATAATCGAATCGTAAATAATGCATTAATTCAGGAAAGATAAATTTTAGAAATGTGCTATTCAAATGATTAAGGTCCTCTTTGGATAAATTATGAATTGTAAATTTGACTTTGTGTAATATAATGTAAACGATATAATTTTAATTATAAAATAATATAATATACAATTTGGGTCGAGATATATTATCGTAGGATGAATAGATAACTTCTATAATTAAATTCAATATGACTCGATATGTTATAAATATTAAATTCATTATTATTTCGTAATAAGAATAATATATTAAATTGTAAAAGCAATTATAATTGCGAATACATTTATTTGCGGAAACTGTCTGGCGTCTCAAGATAATTTAAATTGATTTTAATGTAAATTTTTATAACCATAAATTAATGACCTGAACTAAAACGTCATGAGTTAAATTAATAAAGAATAATAATTTTTTATTATTTTTCTCCGACCAAACTGACATGAATTTGAAACGTTATGCAACTTACAATCAAAATTCATGTCAGTTTGATCGGAGAAAAATAATAAAAAATGTATTATTAACTTTACACTGACGACTTACTTTACCTCACAATTAATAAAGAATCTTTTTAGTCCAGTATTGGTCATGTTTTAATTTAATAAGTTTCTTATTTTATAAATTAATGATTTTGCGAATATTTCGAATCGGGGTCGTGTATCAATCTTTCCTTAAATCCGCTTGAATAACACATTTCCAAAGTATGGAGAATTTCTCTCGAGGTACACCGTATTTGCGAAATAAAAATAGAGAAGGCGGAAAAATATATGTGGAAATAGCAGTCAAAACCAAAATCCCCACGTCTATATCGCGAAATGTAAAGCATGGGTCTTTGCTCGCGCCATGATCTTGCGTTTCTCTCTTTTTCCCTGTAAAAATTGCTACGAAAAATTGCTCGCTTTACAAGCGCGAGTTGTAGCTCGGCGAAGCTCGTCCGCTCGCTTTACAATATTATGACAGCGTTGCGTGAAATGGAGATCACAACGCGTCACCAACGCGTCACAAACGCGAAAACACGTTTATTGCATGACGCGACATCACGCGCGTTTATATCGCAACGCGAAACAAAACGCGAACAAAGCGCACGGGATTGCAATACGCTGATATAGAGCGAGCGCGGCGCGTCATTAAAGATCGTCATTAAGTCGTCTCGCGGCTGCGTTATTACAGCTTATACTACTAGATGGATCATCCGCGCCTCGTTATACCTAGGGAAGGCATCGAGAAAATGAGGGAAGAGAGAAGATCCTATCCGTTTCGTGGTTGCAACATGGTATTGAGTATACGTTAGCAATTCCCGCAAGTTTAAACCCCAGCAGTGTCAAGGTATATACATATATATTTTACTATACTTTTTGTATCTATATTATAAAATCACATATCTGTCCTCGATATTTATAAATCTTTATCTTAGTTCCTAATGTCTCTTAAAAAAGATCCTATTGTGTAACGACAGATAAATTACTGGCCGATTGTTGTTGCATATATACTGAAATTTTTATGTTTATTATTAATAAAATTAAAAAAGAAAATAAGCGAATTTTTCTGATATTACGTAGACGATGTAAAATTGATGTTTCTTCAATTTTGACAAGTTAAGAGATGTAGAGTCTCTCAAACACAAACTGCCATGAAAATAACGTCACCACGTGCGCGCCCCTCAATATTACTTTAACATATATATACAATTGCAATTTCGCGTCCTTGCGCGAAGCGTGCGCGTGAATTTTAGAACGTCCTACATAAGAAAGTTAAACAAGTGGTATCCGCTTCTCAGAATGTTGAACAACTGACATCGTGACGTACGTTGCAACGGCCGTTCTTTCGAGCCCACGTGTAGCTCTGATCTTAAAATTGCACACGAGCGTAACACCGTCTCTCTTGTCATTGAGCTGAACTACTGTGAAGCGAACATCTCAAGAAAGAACGTGGTTTCACTGTACACGTTCTTTTCATATTTATTCCCCGACTGATCTATTATTACAGCCCGGACCTGCATAAACAATTGACGCGATCACTTGTGCAAACATGTCTAATCTAAATTGATCGATCAAATAATGAAAAGAAAACTAGCGGCGTAAAAAATAGATCGAGGCACAATTATAAGCTATCACATGATGGGATCTCTCTTTTTATTATAGTTTTCCTTTTTCGAACTTTTAAAAATGTTCTTAATTATACGAAATTAAGAACATGTTATATTGTGCGTTCTTCTACGTTTAGAAGAGGTTTTTCGCGAAAAGACATCAGACCTGCCATCAATTTTTATCTCTCTCTCCGTATTTACATGTTTTTATAAAACCTTTTAAGAGCGAACTAAGTGCCCATCGTTAAGGCGTGCTTATCGAATTAATTACAAGCTGGGTGTCGTTATTGCGCATTAAGTGGAATCTACAAGTTGGACAGGCTTGACTTTGTTAGGCTCCGAGCGGCGGCAGAAACGTGTCGTTTTAAAGGGGCCCCCGGCGTTACTTTTGAGGGCCCACGAAACTATCACGTAGCATCGTTTTCTCTCGCCTGAAAAAAAAACACTGTACACATCGGATACACGTAGTGATTAAGGCGATATTCAACGGTTCTTTCTGTATATCTTAATTTAAGGCGAATAACACGCGCGCGCAAAAAAAAAATACAAAAGAAAACGTAGGGAATAGTAGGATAAACGGTATTTTTTGTCGGAAATCGAATTCTTTCTCCGCGTTATCTTCGTTATACATATACGTTATTCAGACGACATCGTCTCGAAAAGCGTTTGCTGAAAAAACGTCTTGCCCTTTCCACGCGCAAAGGAGGGAAGATCTCAAGGAAAAGCTCGCAAATGAATAAAATTATATCCAATTGCATATAATGTGCAATGATATTTAATCCTTGAGAGGTAATTGTGATGACGAAATACGTAATTGTGATGAAATCTGAACGGTTTGTTGTGAGAGAATGAGAGGTGTAGGCTAATGCGCGCAATTAAATTGCGAAGCAAATTTTAGTTCTTCAAAGTTTATTTTATACGCGAAATTACGTTTACATGAAAATCTTATGGATTTGATCCAGTTTTTGCTGTTGAAAGTCACGTAAGTACGTCGCCAATATTATGTCTTTGAGAGCGACCTTTATGTGACGTAATCTGTATCACGATCTAGCGATTTATTATAGTAAAAATATATTATGCGATTTAAAAATAATTTTGCAACTAAATTTTCAAACTATTCTTCGAAACATGATAATAATATTTATTATTGTTGTATTGGTGTCGACAGAAATATTCATCAGAGTTACGTGAGGTTTAATCGTGTGTGTGACTTCTTGGCATGGCTATTTGAACACTAATTTAAAATACAGAAATTAGAAAAGGTACGTATATATTAATTTTAACTTGTCTTTATTTATGGAAATCGCGAAAAAAAATGTAATGGACGTAAAAAAATGAACATTTTTCCAATAATCGTTATTCGTAAAACTCTACTAGGAGATTTTTCTCAGAATTCTTGTCTTTATCGAGTATTTTATTTATTTTTTATAAATTCATTGCTTTTCTCGAGTTGCTTCGATCATTTATCTCGCAAGCGGTTAATAATTGTTACAAAGTAACGATTCATGTTTTAACGACTTTTTATAGTACCTACGGTAAAAGCAATAATACAACAGCGTAATATTTTATGAATTCTCGCTCAAAAAAATTCATTTTAAAATTTACTTGCTTTTAATAAGCGCGCGCAAATAAACATAACATATATAATGCCATAATAATTTCAATGAGAAAAACTATAATTCTCGGCATAATTTAAAATATATTGTATAGAGAAAGAGAGAGATCCGCGTGCATAAAAACTCGTATAAATCGTGCATATAAAATTCGTGGAATTTTTACCTGCACATCCTCTCTGAATCTAAAATTTTAATGAAGTTATTCCGGATAGAAGCGAAAAAAAAATTGTCTTTCGAGTAATTCCTTTATAGGAATATCATAAAATTCAAGCTCGATCGATATTACATTGCGTGTCAGCATATATATTCGTTATTACATAAGCATATGTTATCGGAAGATTTAATTCGATGTTATGAAAGCGTACGTATTGTTAGATATTTGCTCTGTCTCGTGCGACGATCTTCTAGCGATATTTATAAAAATAACATCGTACGTCGAGAAATATGTTTCGTACAAACGGTTCGAAATCCGTATTCGTTATTCATTATATGTTATTAATATGCGAAATATATATGGAACGTGATATCAATTCTACTGGAATTTTAACGAAACGATTTTGCAAAGGATTTGTCACCGTTGTCAAATCAGTTCTTTTGATAACGTCTGGAATTCTTGATCGTCTAATCGTGATAAATTTACAGTTACAGCTTTATCGCTCACGTCATTTGAAATTCAAACAGTCTACAAAGCGGTTACAGAATTCAACAAATTTTACGACCTTTCCGACAATTCCCCAATCGTTTCCTACAATCTCTTCGTTACTGTAAGTTAATAGCTCCTTTACGTGTATACTCAGATTGTTTTTCTAGAACCAAATACACGCTCGCGTATTATGTATTAAAAAGAGAGAGAGAGAGAGAGAGAGAAATATGTGCATGATAAATTTTTTATACTCATTTAGAGTTTTTTTTACATTAACATGCTATCTATTTTAAGTCCATTCTATAGTATGACTTTTTACATCAGTTGATTATAAAACTTTCCCGTTACAATCATTGGCAATATTTTATATTTTAATTAATGCGCAAAGTATATATATTCAACATTAATTCCAGAATATCTGTTTACGAACAAGATATATGTTTGCATATATTTCCATCTTAATTAAATTATCTCTTAAAATATTTTTACAGTCATGCAGTATGTGCATATATGTTTTTCTTTTTCATTTGTACTGGAAATTTTCAGAAATATGATACCTATAAAACTAATTAAAAAATCATCCCTTAACAATGCAATTTTCTTAGCAAGTTTCAACGTAGCGCAAAAATCGCGAGAATTTCGCTCCGAGGGAAAAAATGCCTGCGGTCAAAAGAAAAGGAGAAAAAAAAAAAAAGAAATTCTTCGACCGCGGCGTACAAAGAAAGGGGATCGGGTCTCTTAACGATAAATTATTCATTACGGTTATAATTAATAAAACAGGAATTTTTAGTCTATTATTTTCCTCGCTTTCATCAAAAGTCGATATTAGAGAGTCGGGCTGCATTTTTCTGCTCCCTTTCGCCGTACGCGGACGGCGCCCTCGTTAT